CTGAATTCAGGGGCGGGGAGGGAAGAACAGGGAACAAACAATTTGGGGAGGACAAAAGTGCCAGGGAAGGGAACGGGGTGCGGGGAGGAAGGAAGTTCACCACTCCCCACTGGTAGGCTGGAAGTGGGGTGGGATGGCAGCAATACAGACAGGCCAACAGGGGATAAAGGAATAAGGGGTACAACTCCCAGCACAGGATGGTAAGACCGGTTCCTCCGGCTACACTGTGGGGGGAGGAAAAGATTTAAAGAACATGGGGATAAGTGAGACTGTGTAACTCCACCATGAAGCCTCTAGGGGTTTCATGCCAGTCCCAAGCCTGGATAAAGGAGGAGGGTTGAGCAGATGAATGTTGATGCGCTGATCGTAAAACAACAATACAAATGAAATCTGATGCCAGGACGATTAACTGATAAAAGATGCCGGCTCGGACATCACCCAGATAAACAAGGTCCGTAATACCAACCGAGCGATCAGGGTTGGAGCGATAAGCTGGCTACAACTAACACATATACTATCAACCAGAACGTGGGACGTACGAACGTTGTGGGCAACGGGAAAGTTAGAGCTCTCAAAAGGAGATGGAGAGATACCAAGGTGATATACTTGGACTGGCGGAGATGTGTTGGACGGTATCGGGAGAGATGTGTGGTTGCAAAGTCATTTGGTCAGGAAACGAAGCGAAACATAAGGCAGGAGTCGGATTTCTTCTTCGCAAAAGAGCTAGAGAAGCATTGTTAGGATACAAACCGGTGAGTGCGAGAATGATGGTAGCGAGATTCAAAGCAAAACTGTTCAACATCTCGGTCGTTCGGGTGTATGCGCCCACGTAGGAAAGCACGGAGGAAGAGATCGAGCTATTCTATAAAGATTTGACAAAGACGTCGGAGGAGATACCAAAGAGAGATGTGTTGATCATCGGAGGAGACTGGAACGCGAAGGTTGGAAGAAAGTCATGGGAAGATCTGGATACGGAGAAAGAAATGAACGAGGTGAGAAACTACTAGAGTTTGCCAGGAGCATGAGATGGTGACCTGCAACACAAGAGTCCAAGA